CAATACAATTTAATAAAGACTGTAAGTCAATGAGTCAAACGTAAGTTTCAATGTCTGTTTGAGAATGGGCTATAGCCTATAATAAACTTCATAAACAATAATAATAATAATTATACTTATCTAATTATAGGATGTTTTCCTGTAAATTTATATTTTTTGACACTAAAATGATAAAAAAAAAAAAAATGCAATATCTTACGTTTTGTATATTTAAATTTATATTTATTATTATGTGTACTTGGTTTTGTAAGTTGTCCAATTATTAAACATTGGCAAATTACGGTACATATCAACTCTTGAAGCAAAGCAATGCATGATGATCATAAAACATGACCCAAGCTGCAGTAGAACAGACTTCATGACAAGTTACATTATCACAAGATACAATCTTTTCTTTCATTATACCTTAAAAATTCACATCATCTGATCACACAAACAACCAAAAAACCACCCTTCTTAAGGCAAAACCCAAAACAACCTTAATTGTCAAAACCATCAAAGATCCAAACCTCAGAAAGAAAAAAAAAAACTCCTAACAGTCGATCGCGATGCAGCTCTGCACAGCAGCCGATGCACCATTGTCACTAACAAACGGGTCGATCTTCACCCAGACGAGCGAAAAGACAGATGCCAGCAGAACAGACCACAAGACAACAACAGTCGGGGTTCGGTTTTGCCGCCCCATGAGACCCTTGAGGAATGGGTAGAGATGGAGAATGACCCATAAAGCAAAGAATACCTTTCCGAAAAGTGGGCCCCACGCCTCGTACCCACTGTTTAAGGCATCGGAAAATCCCGCAACCACGCCCACGATATTGACGACGAGAATAGTTGTCGGGGGGATGAGGACAGTTGTCCATTTAATCACGTAAAGCTCCCCGAACTCGGCATCGTCGGCAGCCTTGGTGGTGACAGTGAAGTTTGTGTCGACTCCGGCGAGCATCTTGAGGAAGCCTTGGAAAACGGCAAACAGATGGGCCGAGACCCCGCCGATTACCCAGAACTGCTCATTTCGCCACAAGGCCTCGATGCTAACACCGCTCCACCGGAGCTCGAGGATACTTGTGAGGATGATGGAGAGGAAGAGCCCGAGGAAAAGGATGCTTGCCAAGTTCGACAACTAAAGTGTTTTGATTAACCAGGGTTAATTTAGAAAAATGTGGTATGATTAGTTGTTATATTAAATTAATATTTAAAACAAAATAACTAAAACTGATTTGATGTAAAAGTAAGAGAGAAATGATGTGAAGTGTGGTTAGTTAAAAATTTCAAATTAACTGAAAGCGCTAATCGAAAGTATGGGAGTTTGAGAACGTGTTGCAATTTTTGAGGACTGAAATTGTAGCAAAATATTAAATTACAAACTAAAAGGCGAAATGTTGGAACCTTGGGATTAAAATTGCAATGGCGTTAAACCAAAAGGACTAAAAATGCATTTTTGCCGAAAAGATAGTGTACCGTTGGGATGATGAATTTCCCGGTGAGAAGGCAAATGGCGGGCAGCAAGCAGTAGGCGACGAGGGGGAGGGAAGTGAAAGGATAAACGATAGTGTTGATGTACGCGAGCCTCTGGAGCCATTTGAGGCGGCCGCCTCCGAAACCGTACCATAAGGGACAGTGTCTGCTGAGGAAGATCTCGATGGAGCCCAAGGCCCACCTGAGAACCTGGTGCAGCCTGTCGGACAAGTTGATTGGAGCTGACCCTTTGAATGCGGGCCGCAAAGGCATGCAGTAAATCGATCTCCACCCTCGGCAGTGCATCTTGAAACCCGTCAGAATGTCCTCCGTGACTGATCCATATATCCAACCAATCTGCAAAATCCCATAAATAGAAATATAATCGAGAATGACAAAAAAGAAAAAAAAAAATATATATATATATATATATATGGGCAATATTGTTATTTATCGTAATCCAGACTAATACAAGCTACTAATTGTGATAAGTTGTATATCTGACCTCTTTACCCCAAGCAGTCTTTTCCTCATACCCACAGCCGATGACATGGATTGCTTCGTTAATTAGAGTAGATGGATTGGCAGATTCGGCTATTCCGCCGTTCTCCATAAGCGTAGACTCGATAAAAACAGAAGATAAGCCAAACGTTTTCTCGAAACTCATTTGGGAGATGAGCAATGACCTTTCGTGCTCATCATAACCTACATAGATGCACCTTGTCTTAAAAAAACTTCAAATTTGATGCGCTATCATTTTTATTAAAATCAAAATGCGAAATACTTACTTTCAATCTCCCTAAGGTTAAAAATGGCGGCATTGAGCTCTTCCCTTTTTGCATCACGGTAAAGCTCCGAGAGGTCTTTTTCTTTGGCGGGCTTCTTGCCACGACAGCAACAACAGCAACTGCCGCACCATGAGCAAGATGATGATGATGATGAAGTCTTGGGTAGAGTCGGGAGGGATGTGGGCCCATAGCCGTAAAGGGCTTGCCTGTTAAAGACACAACCTGTCCCAACGTATACAGGCCCTTGGATACCGTCTAATCCTTTCATGTTGACCTGGCATCACGCAGAAACTAAATTAACCGACAATCATAAAAAAATTCTAAGGAGTGTGCCAAAATTTCAGATTTGGAGGAAAAAGTAGTTGAGAATCGAAATTAACATTTTTTTTTCAATTATCTATTGGTCGTGTAAAAGATTTAGTGGAATTTCAGATAAAAACTGTGCATGCAAAAATCTTACATCGAAGAAAACTGTGTTGCGGTTGGCATATCGATCACTCTTGTCGATACCATCAAATCTCTGGGGGAATTGCACGTAACATACATCTCCACATACTTGAGGATCCATCAAGAAACACATTGCCTCACGGATTGCCATGCTATTGTTAACATAGTGGTCACAATCAAGGTTAAGGATAAATGGCGCATTTGTCAAAACAGCTGATACTCTTATCTGGAAAAAGAAACAATCAAATATGTGATGATCACACCCTTTACTGAAAATAAATAATTAAAAAAAAA